GGCTGCACGCATGCCAGGCGAACATGCTACCGCTTGAGCCACATCCCCAGCCCCGATCTTGCTGTCTAATTTTTAAGAAACATTAAAAAAAAGGGTCTAAGCATAATAAGCAGTTCATATCTATTTTTTTGCTTTTAAATTGTTTTATGTTGATAGCTAATACTAACAAGTTATATAGGTTGTGTATACAAATTTATTTATTTAAAATAGCTTACCAAAAGCTACTCAGTTTTCCAAGTTCATGACAGATATGAATTAGTTTAATCATCACAACAACCCTATGACTAGGTTTTTTTAATTAGCTTTCATTAAGGTTGAGTAAAGCGAGTCACAGAGAGGTGGAATAAATTGTCTTCCATCATACATCTATGAGGTAGCAAAGCCAGTACTGAGCCAGCACACAAATACCAGCCATCAGTTCTTCACCATTGGGCTTTTCTTCCTCTGGGGGGCGGGAGGCTTTAGTTTTAATTTTAGAGCTCTCCCACACTTAATGTGTTGGTAGGTATCCTGCCCTGGCTTTACCACTTCTACAACCAGAGATGCACTTCTTTGAGGTTTCTTCATCCTGGTGCAATATAAATATTTATTTCTTTTTTCTTTTGCTTCTTATAGCAGGTTGATCTGGAATTTGTTTCAGCTGGAGACCTCTCATTTTTTCTTTCAGCCATCAGAGTGTGTGATGAGCTTGGGGTCCTGCTGAGATGTCACAGACCCCTCTGCCTCAGTCCCCATGAACACCAACTTGAGCAGACATCCTGCTTTGCAGGAAAGAAAGGCTATGGTGCAAAGGAGCTGTTGTTCACTGTTCACTTCTCCCAACAAGCAATTAAACTGTGATGGAAACCAAGCTGCACCTGCCAACAGGCACAGTCCTACCCACAGTGCACATGTGGGGCAGGTTCTACCCAGGGCTTCGGTGCCAGCTGCCCTAGGCTTATGTATGGTGCCATTCATTTGTTTGATGTGTTACTGAATCTGCCTGGGTATTAAAAGATTTGAATCTTATTTTACAGACTTTCTGTCCTCCCTGTTGAGTCCATTTCTTCTTCAAGTTATCATATAAATCTAATAAATGCAATGAAAGAGACCAGAATAGAATTCTGACATTTAAATAAGTTTTTTGAAATAAAGTCTTTGCTTTGTAAAGTGCATAACTGAATCTTGTTAGGTTAATAACACTCATTTTTTTTTCTGACTTCACCATTTCACTGTAAAATGGTTATTTGAACTAAACTTTGAAGCCAACGGGGGTGCTGTGTCTGAATCCATTTAAAAACCCACATGCTTAGATCAGAATTTACTAAGGAGATTATTGAATGTGGAGTGAGTGCTCCTGTTTTTGGATACAAAATACTTTTAAAAGGCCTGGTTCAGTGTGCATGTTGGTGAAAGCAGATGGACAGCGTGATGGTATCCAGAGCCCATTCTCTGGCCACAGTACAACCAGTTAGATATAGCAAAAAATACAAAGGGGTCTGGGGTTGTGGCTCAGCGGCAGAGTGCTTGCCTAGCATGGGCGAGGCCCAGGGTTCAATCCTCAGCACCACATAAAAATCAATAAATAAACTAAGGATATTGTATCCAACTACAATAACCACTTCCCCAAAGCCCTATGATTTAGACATTGATGCACTGGGAACCAAGTCTTGAACCTATGAGACTTTGAGGAACACTTCCTATTCAAGCCATAACCGAAGCTTTATCAAACATTCAAGAAACATAGAAATTTCTAAGAAATTGTTCCATAGAAATTGTTCCAGAGAGTCAAAAATGAAGGAAACCTAAGAAACCTATTCTATGAAACTTCAATCATCTTGATTAAAAAAAAGTGACTAAAAGCAATATGGGAAATGAAACTTATAGATTGATTTTTCTAATGAATCTCATGTCAAAAATATTAAATAAAATACTAACAAACACAATTCAAAAGTGTATAAAAATAACATGACAAGTAGGGTTTATCCTGAAGACAAAAAGACCATTTAACAATGAGAAAATAGATTGGTGTGATTCTCCTCATTACATATTAAAGGAAGAAAAATTAACCCATAAGACTTAATAATATTTCATAATAAAACGTGTTAAAGCTGACAATCAGGGATCAGGGGTGGCTATTTCAAGCCAATAGCAAACATCATAACTAATAGAACAATCTTAGAAACATTCCTATTATAATGGATATTTTCTGTGACTGCTTCTATCCCCTGGGTAGAAACCAAAGCCACGGGATAATGCAATAAATCAGTAAGATAAAACCAATGGAGCCATGTGCAGAAAGAGGAGGAGACAAAGAAACCAATGTCCTCACTTGCAGATGGCTTGCTTGTTTACTTGCCTCCCAAATCAAATGACACTCACTATAGAGGAACAACAAGTGACTGTCAGTGTACCTAATAAAGCTAAGATATATGTGCATGTGCTTTATTTTAAAAATTACTAATCACTGTTTAAACCATTGAAAGAAAACCTAAATGAGTGGAGACAGAGTTCTAACTTATAGAATGTATTCATTGATATGAATTGATGTATAAAAATCAATGTATTTCCAACAAAAATTCCAATGAGAATCTATGTGAAACTTGATACCTTCCATGAAATTCAAATGAAAAAAAAAAAACGAAAGGTAGAGAATAGAAAAATTACAGAACTTAAGTATAAACCCAGTCAGTGAGACAATTACCAAAAATATTTTAAATTTTTCTCAATTGAAATGACTTTTTCATTCATTTACCCATCTACTCATGTTTTTGAGACTCTACTCTGTGTGCTAATTTCTGTTCTTTTTTGTTTTGTTTTGTTTGTTTTCCTTTTTTTGAGACAGGATCTTACTAAGCTGCTTAGGGCTTTGCTAAGTTGCTGAGGCTGGCTTTGAACCTCTGATTCTTCTGCCTAAGTCTCCTAAATTACTGGGATTACAGGTATATGCACCGTACTGTGCTAAGATCTCTTCTTGACTTAGAGAATATGTCAGTGAACAAAACCAACAAAATGCTTGCCTTCAGGGTACTTACATTTTAACAGGTGTGGCATGCGATAAGTAAATTAAATAAGCAAAATAGTGGGTAGTAATCAATATTAGGAAGAAAAATTAAGTAAGTAAACAAAGAAAGTTCTATTTTGGGAGAAGGTCAATAAGGAAGAACTCTTTTGATAAAGTGATGTTTGCACAAAAACTTTGAATGACATTCAAGGAAGCTAAACAGTTCTCTGGAGGAGGAGAATCAACAGGAAGAAATGGAAAGTGCAAAGACCCTGGGGTGGGAACACCATCAGTATAGGAGGAATAGCAAGTGTTCTGGGGCACAGTGAGCCCAAGGGAGAGCCAGAGAAGGAAATGAGGTGTGTATAGCAGCAAGCAATCAGGTCATGTGGATATAGTACAATTGCAGATTTCATTTTGACCGAATAGGGAAGGACTTGATCAAACGTAGAAGACATACTTCTGTATCGTGTAGACAAGAGTGGGTAAGAGATGTGAAAGGAGTAAGTAAGAAATGAAGAAAGAGAACTTATTAGAGAGCCCCATAGTCTTCCAGGCAGAAGTAGTGACTTGGCCCTGAGTGGTGGAGATGAAGAGGGAGGGCTAGCTGCATAATAAGGTCTATGTTAGGGTCAGGCTGCCAGGATTTGCGCCTGGATCAGAGTCAGGAAACCTCCAAGGTTTGTAGTCTTAGCAACTGACAACATGATACATGCACAGTCTAATAAATATTTTATGCATCCTTGGGAAAGAAGGGGCTTCCACTAAATGGTGAGATGATCAGTTGTCCACATGTAAAAATAAATCAGATACATACCTCACATTACCCAAGAGATTAAGCTCCCAACGTGTTTAAAACCTAAAAAAAAAAAAAAGTAAAACTTTGATATTTTTCAAAGAAATATAGGAAAAAGTACAATGGCCTTATTTATAAATAAGATAGTGTATCTTAAATGAAACACAAGAACTACATCCAAGAAAAGTTAAAATACATTAATATATTATTTAAAATGTTAAAACTGTTCTCTGAAATAAATACCCATGAACAAATTGAGAAGACAAGCCCCAAAGTGAGAAGAGATACTGTTAACATCGACAACTGACAAAGAATCAGTATACTGACTTACAAAGAACATCTACAAATCATTTGAAAAAGACAAGGCTGGCCCAGTACTGTAGTGCACATCTGTAATCCCAGCAGCTCAGGAGGCTGAGGCAGATCACCAGTCTAAGGCCAGTTTGGGCAACTTAGCCAGACCCTGTTTCAAAACAAAAATAAGAAAGGTCTGGGGATGTGACTCAGTGGTAAAGCACCCCTGGATTCTATCGTGAGCATGGAAAAATAAAATAAAATAAAAGGATAAAGAAAAGAAAGAAAAAAGACTAATCTGTAAAAACAAGAAAATGATGTGAAAGAGCAAAGGATGGAAGAGGAAAACAAATTGTCAGTCCAACACAAGACAAGATCACTCAAGCTCAGCTGCCATCAAGGAAACACATCCCCAAATGACAGCGTCTCCATTCAATGCCCTCTAGCTTAGCACAAACTAAGGTGTCCAACAGTACAAGAGTCAGCCGGAAATTGAAGAGGCAAGAAAATGCCTATCTTCTCCTGGAGAATTACAGATTCCTATAATCACTGATCAATTTAGCAAGATTCAACTCTACTTCTTGTCTACACCATGTGAGGAGACAACAGGCGCATGGTCTAGAGAGTTGTGAGAGCTGACTCTTGCAAGAGAGATGGTCCTCCTTGGGTTTCTTATCCTCTCATCCATCTTACTGGACGTGCTAAGACTGTAAGCCTTGGATAACTCTTTTTAAAAATATTTATTTTTTAATTATAGGTGGACACACATCTTTATTTTATTTTTATGTGGTGCTGAGGATCGAACCCAATGCCTCATGCATGCTAGGCAAGCGCTCTACCTCTGAGCCACAACCCCAGCCCTTGGATAACTCTTTACCACTACAGTTTTCAGAGTTTCAGTTTATAGGGAAGAACCTAAAGGATGAGGTAACATCTCCCTCCAGCACAAAAGGTCCTCTCCTGTACCTGGACCCACTGAATGTTTGGGAATTCTATGGGCCTTTACCCCACCCTGGGTGCATGAGGGCTCAGAAACTGGCATGAACATGCTGCAGCTTTAGCTATGGATTCCAAAGTCTTCCATCTCTGGTACAGAAATCCTGTGTCTTCTGGCAGTATCCATGAAACTGGGGCATCCTAACTTGTGAGTTTGTACACAGGGTGACATCTGAGACACTTCACAGATCTTGACAGAACCCACCTAAATATCCACCATCATCATCATGATTAAATTGTATAAAAGAGAAAATGAAATACTATATATGCTAATTCAATTAAATGAATGCAGTGGCAAGTGTCAATACTACTAATTTACACCAACATAGTGTTCAGTGAAAAAATA